TCACTGACCAGGGCAGCCAGGTCTCAGCCACCACCGTCCAGTGGGTCTCCTTCTACCTCTTGCAGCCTTGGTGTCTGGGGAAGATGGTGGTGCTGTCTCCTCTGGCTGTGACCCCTTGTCTGTGGTGCTTTCCTGCCTCTGCACAGTCCAAGTATCTGACTGTCCTCTGCACCTTTCCTTGGGGCTCCAGTGGAATTCTGCTCTTGCAAGATGTGGGGAGTGAGCCCTGCAGTGCACCGCAGGGTGGGAATTGGGGTCCATCCCGCCCACCTGGAGGGCACTTTGTATCCTAACGAGCAGATGCTCGAGTAACTGGAATCTGGCACTGCCAGTGGCACTGCCAAAACCTGCCCCGGCACCTCGAGGGGATGCCAGCATGCTCCTCTCCTTGGTAAAGGATCCAGGAATTCTTGGAGCCAACATTTCACAAATGGGCAGGCGGCTCTCGGAGGCCCCCACAGCCTGGGCTTCCTGCCTGAGGAGTTGGCCAGGCCTCTTGGGGGCATCTTGTGCACCCCCTCGGAGACCACAGAGGCCAGCGCTGCAGGCCTTGGCCGGGCTGCACCCCTCCTAGCGAGCTATCTGTTCCATTCCCCTGGAAGGAGGGAGCCCGTGCTGGGGGAGGGGGGAATGTGAGGGCACTGTCTGTAATCGCTGCTGAGTTCTCGCCGCACCAAGTGCGGTGCTGAGCATGTCACATGTGTGTCCTCTGTGAGGAAGGAGCTGCTACCACCCCCACGTCACAGCAGGGAACTGAGGCCAGAGGGAGCAAGTGACCTGCCAGGGCCACACAGCTGGTCAGTGGCCAAGCCAGACCTTGAGTCAGTCAGCCAGCTACCTGTGTCTGACTCAGAGTGGCCGCGGGAAGGACCATGTCCCCCACAGGTACCCTGCCCCTGAGGAGCCAGCCTGAGTGCTTCTCAGAAGCGTGGGAGAAGCCTGTGCAGGCATGGGGTTCACATCTTTTGATCTGAACTGTTCCCTGGAGGATTTTCGTCCCAGTTGTCCTGGCAGCCCATTTCCTCCCTTCCCCGGTTACATCCTGGTTCCCATCACAGGGAACGTCACTCCTGGCCCTTCTCCCTGGCATTGCAGGAGAGCCTAGCCACGTGGCTCCCTTCTAGAGGGAATTCCGGCTCAGCAAAGGAAAGCTCTCACGCCCATCGGACAGGGTTTCCAGAGGGCTTCTGTGATCCGTTCTGCTGAGAGGAACAGCCAGCCGTGCCCCGCTTTCAGCCAGCTAGTTGGGAGCTTTGAGGCTGAAGAATTGAGCAGGATGCAGAGAGCCCCCTCGAGCTGTCTCTGTGGAAGCAGCCCATACTGCCTGGCTTTGGGCGACCAGGGCTGGGTGTGGAGCCTCCCTCCTCGGTCCTCTGTGGAGACTGCTGGAGGATGAGGGAATGCGCCAGGCCATCTAGTTTACCCTGTGGTTTACCTGGAGAGGGGCTCAGAGAGGTCAAAGGTGTCCACTGAGGCCACACAGCAAGCCGGTGCTGAAGGAGAGTTAGCTCCCGCAGCTGCAAGCCCCAGGAGGAGTGCTAGCCTGCCCACGCACCTCTCCAGTGACCCGCCCAGTCGACCTGTGACACCAGCTCAGATGTTTTCATAACCACCGTAGTCCACGACTCACCCAGTCGACCTGTGACACCAGCTCAGATGTTTCGGGAGATGCGAAGATGGCCGGTACAGACTCCCTGTCCCCTTCTCCCTGATCGCTGTCCCCAGAAATTTCTAGAGCCGGGCATGGGACACACTTTCTCACTCCGAATCAACCAAGGGGTTGATTCCTGAAGCAGAGCAGGAGCGGGGGGTGGGGGGCACCCGCGCCGGGCGCTTCTGTTTCTGGAGGGGCCGAGGAGAGGCCCACAGAGCTGAGCAGGCAGGAGGCCGCCTGCTCCACCCCACGCCAAGCTAGGCCCTTGTGCTGCCCCCCACCTCAGGCACCTGCCAGCCTCATCCTCCTCAGGCAGTGACCTCCCTGGAGGCTGACAGCCCTGCCTTGTGCACCATCCTCCCGACTGAACCAGCCCCAGTTAGAAAGCTCACAGTGTTGGGTCAGGGCAGTTCTGCTTTGGGACTCCGGGGGACCAGGGAGGTAGGGGACCAGCCCCTCCTCATTGACACAGGCCTGCTTCTCCTAAGGTCACTTTGCTTGTCCCAGCAGTGTCCCCAGGGTTGAGAACTGAGAAGCTCGCCCCACCAAGCCAGGTTCTGAGCCTGGGAGGATGAGCATCCCAGGTGGGGTCCCCGCTCACAGCACCCCACAGAGGCATCTCAGTGACTTTTCTAGGCACGAGTGCGAGAATTGACTAGAACACCCAGGGGTCTCCTGCTCTGTGAAAAGGCAGCATCGGTGACATTTCCTG